ATGAAAAAAAAATGTAACTGTTGAAATTATGGTTATGGTTACTTTGGAAAGGCCAAAATTGATTGTGACTGGGACAGGCTATGCGTAATAGCTTCAAGTTTTATTTCATGACCTAAGTAGTAATTCCAATAGTGTAATAAAAGTTGATCATGTTCCATTTGAAACAGGAATAAACCAAGGTTGTTAGCTTTTGCCACTACTATTAAGTATAGTTCTGGTGGTTTGAGATAAATAGGATATGAATAGATAGAAATAAATGACCCATATATAACATACATGCATACTTAGAGTGATAGAAGATAGGTAGGTAGATTATAGATAAATCAAAGGTAGAATAGATAGATAAATGATAGATAGGTAGTTAGGTAAATAGATGATGGATACATACTGATTGATTAGATAGATAGAAAGATAGATAGATAGATAGATAGATAGATAGATAGATAGATAGATAGATAGATGATAGATAAGTAGATTGGTAGAAGGAAGAAAAGATAAAAAGAAGGAAAGAATGAGAAGAAAGAAAGGAAAAGGAAAGGAAGTTCATAAAAACTCCTACCATAAATAATTCAGATAAGCAAAGATGCAGGACACAAGATGAACAAGTAAAACTTAATTGTGTCTACACAGAGCAACAATGAGAAATCTGAAAAGTAAATTAAGAAAATTGAATGTAGGATAGAATAGAATAGATTTTACCTTACACCCATCAGAATGGCTAAAATAAAAGACTCAAGTGACAACACACACAGGAGAGGATATGGAGAAAGGGTAACCCTCCTCCATTGCTGTTGGGAATGTAAACTTGTACAACCACTTTGGAAATCAATCTGGCACTTCCTCAGACAATTAGGAATAGTGCTAACTCAGGATCCAGCTATACCACACCTAGGCATATATCCAAAAGATGCTCAAGTATACAACAAGGACATTTGCTCAACCATGTTCATAGCAGATTTATTCATAATAGCCAGAAGCTGGAAGCAACCCAGATGTCCATCAATGGAGGAATGGATACAGAAATTGTGGTACATTTACACAGTGGAATACTACTCAGCCATTAAAAACAAGAAAATCATGAAATTTGCAGGCAAATGGTGGGATCTAGAAAAGATTATGCTAAGTGAGGTATCCCAGAAGCAGAAAGACACACATGGTACATGCTCACTTATAAATGGATATTAAACATATAATATAAGATAAACACACTAAAACCTGTACACCTAAAGAAACTAAACAAGAAGGAGGACCCTGGGTAAGATGATCTATCCTCTCTCAGAAAGGCAAATGGGATGAACATAGGAAGAGGGAGAAAACAAGAAATGACAGGAGCCTACCACAGAAGGCCTCTGGAAGACTACCCAGCAGAGTATCAAAGCAGATGATGAGACTTACAGCCAAACTTGGGGCAGAGTGCAGGGAATCTTATGAAAAAGGGGGAGATAGAAAGACCTGGAGGGGATAGGGGTTTCACAAAGAGAGCAACAGAACCAAGAAATCTGGGCCCAGGGGTCTTTTCTGAGACTTATACTCCAAACAAACATGTAGGGAGATAACCTAGAACCCCTGCACAGATGTAGCCCATGGCAGCTCAGTGTCCAAATGGGTTCCCTAGTAAGGGGAACAGGGACTGTCTCTCATATGAACTCAGTGGCTGGCTCCTTGATCACCTCCCCCTAATAGGGGAGCAACCTTACCAGGCCACAGAGGAAGACAATGCAGTCAGTCCTGATGAGACTTGATAGGGTAGGGTCAGATGGAAGGGGAGGAGGCCCTCCCCAATCAGCAGACTTGGAGAGTGGCATGGGAAGAAATGGGAGAGAGAGGGTGGGAGTGGGAGGGAATAAGGGAGGGGGCTACACTTTGGGATACAAAGTGTGTGAACGGTAATTACTATTTAAAAATTAAGTGTTTCTTGCCATTTGGTGTTCCTCTATTATGAAGTCTCTGTAAAAAAATTAAAGAAAAATCTCTCACAGGAATAGTAATGTTGGGCAGCTATGGAACAAGAAGATGCATGAGTTTATATTTATATTATCTTTATATTCATTAAAATGAATAAATACAATGAACTCTAAAAGAAAACGAATAGAAAAGAGATGAATAAAATATCTAATAAAATGCAATAAGGAGGTAAAAATCATACAACTAATATATGAAACATCCCTGAAATATATTGTCTTAAATAAATAAAAGAATGTCTTGTGTTCATCTTAAAATATGTAATATCAGTAAGATTTTAATTCTACCTAATCCAGTCTTCAAAGTCAATGAAATCTTCACCAAAATTACCCTTCTTTTTTATAAATGGAAAAAAAAACTTCATATGAAATCTCAAAGGAGCTACAAGTAGATAAAACTAATTTGCAATCATCCCTGTGAGGTGCTACTGGCATAAGGATAGACAAATAAAGCAAAGAAATTGTTGAGTCCGTAAATAAAATTATTCCTCCTGGCCTAGTGACTCTAAGCAGAGATATTAAGGACATTCAAGTATGAATTAACTGTGTCTTCAGTGAATGGTTCTGGAACAACTGAACATGTATTGGCAAGTAAATGAAGTTAGATCTTTAACTTGGACCCTATACAAAATATTACCTGAAACAGATCAAGAGCTAAAAAATAAGCTGCAAATCAAAAAATTAAGCTATAAATCAATATAATCTGTGTTAGAAGAGAACACACAGGTAAATTTGAATGATCACGGCTTGAGTAATGGGTTTGTAGCTATTACACCCAAGTATGGCTAACAAAGAAAAGATGGATAAGTTGGGTTTCACAAAAATTAAAAACCCATGAGAATCCAAAGACATTCATTCATGTGGGGCTGGAGAGATGGCTCAGCAGTTAAGAATAATGGCTGCTCTTGCCAAGGAACAAATTCAGTTCCCAGCACTCACATTGAGAGGTTCTCAATCACCTGTAGCTCCAGTTCTGTGCTGTTACTCAGTAACTGTTCCAGGGGACCTAATGGCCTCTTTTGGCCCTGGAGGCACTGAGTACCTATGATGCTCATACTCAGGAATGCAGACATATACATAATAAAAACAAATTTTCTTTAAAGTTGCATGAAAATGAAAAAAAGCCCATAGAATACATGAAAGTTTTTACAAATGAGATTTATGACAATAGCCTGTTATCCTAGGCTATTATATAATATTGTATATATTATATAACTATTACTATTCAACAACAAAAAATATAACTCAATCTAAAAACAAGGGATTTGGGTAGCTAATTCTACAAAGGCACATAAATACCCAGCAAGTATACCATGAAATATTCATTAAAATTAGTCATCAAGAAAATACAAATCAAAACCATAATAACATAACATTAACTGGGTAAGCTATAATAACAATGTTTCAAAAACCAGGCACAATTAAGTGTAGGTGTGGGTGTGAGAAGCTTGAAAATCCTGAACATTGCTAGTTGGAATTAAAACTGCACATCTGTTATGGAAAATAGGTTGGCCATTCCTCAAACAGTTTAACAAAGAACACTTATGTGACCTTCCATGTACTCATATAAATATATTATAAAAATTAGAAACAGGTGCTCAAGTAAGTACATGTACACATAGGTCCAGACCAGCGATACTTGTAGTAACCAAAAAGTAGGAACAGCCAAAATGGACACACTAATGAAAAATAGATAAGCACACAGAGTTCTCAACGTACGAGCAGTGCAGAATTCGGTCACCCAGCAGAACACAATGGAATGTTATCAGCTATGAAGGGAAGGGAAGTGATAACACATGCTTTAATAGCATGAATGACTCTTGAAAATATTTCACAGAGTGAAAAAGGTCAGGAACAAAAGCACAAACCATATGCAATCTCATCTGTAGTGAATGTTCAAAATAGGGAAACACATAAAGACAGAAAGCAGGTCAGTGGTCCTCAAGGATCTCGGAGAGTAGAGAAGGAGAAGAAACTATACACTAGATAAAAAGAAAAACAAAAACTTTAAACTGTTACATTTCTATTATTGTGATAAAACACCATGACCCAAGCAACTAAGAGACAAGAGGTTTATCTGGGCGTACAGTTACAGAGGGACAATAATTCATTGTGGCAACATCAGTAGGCATGGTGGCAAAAGCCTGAAGGTGAGGGCTTGCATCTTCTACTGCAAGCACAGATCAGAGAGAGAGAAAAACTGCTAGCAGAGTAAGGCCTTAGGCTCTCAAAGTAACATATATCCTCGATGAAGCCATTCCTCTGAAACCTCCCAAAACAGCACCACCAACTGGGGACCAAGTGTTCTGGTATCTGTGCCTATGAGGGACATTCTCATTCAAACCACTATAAGATTTTAGTGAATTATGACCAAATGTTTGTAGACTAGCTATACTCAGAGTTATTGCTATCATTTAAAAACTGACACTAACTTGTGAGGGGAGAAGAGGCAGTCTCTGACATGAACTCAGTTGCCTACTCTTTGATCACTTCTCTCTGCTGGAAGTGCACAGAGGAAGCAGATCCAGGCAGTCCTGATGAGACCTGATAGGCTAGGGTCAGACAGGAGGGGAGGAGGACCTCCCCTATCAGCAGACTGTGGGAGAGAGTGGGAGAAGATGAGGGAGGGGCCTACAACAGAGATACAAAGTGAATAAATTGTAAAGAATTTTAAAAAAATTAAAAAACAAAAAAAATCATCATTTTATATTGTATGAGTTTTTGTAGTAAATCAAATGGGTTCAGCTTTTAAAAACTGACTCATAATCCCATATACACCTCTCTACCAACCCTGTAAGAGAGGCTAGCATGTGAGTTATTCTTTTTTGCCTTGACAGGAGAAATGCCGAAATGTCAGTTCTCAAAGAGCCACTTAAGAGAAAGAAAGGTTAAACTCCCTTTTCTAGCTCTTAAGTCGTTATGTTAATTATTTCATAAAATGGAAAGTTTCCATTTCCCCTCACATAGCAAATGCATTGTAACACGCTTCCTCTGGCTTACTGTCAGCCTTTTCAAACACGTGTTTCTTGTATTTTGCAGACATACTTGGCAAGTGCAGGACAAGATTGATGCCAACAATGTGGCTTACACAACTGGAAAGCTCAGTTTCCACACTGACTACCCAGCCCTCCACCATCCACCTGGGGTAAGGTGAGCTTCAACACATTTTCCACAAGCAAGACCGAAGAAGAGCACTGCGAATGAGTCTAGGTTGTCTATCTCACCGCTGGCTATGTCTCACGTACACCTTTTCTTTCCGAAACACAATCCGAACTCACAAACATCTCACTAACTTCTGCACATTCCTCACTTTTTACAGGGGAAAGAACATTTTCGCTCATCTTTAAAAAAAAAAAAAAAAAATCGGTTCCTCGTCTCTTGGAAATAACCACTGGAGTGTTTTGCATGGCCAAGAACGATTTTAAGACAGCCATGTGTCTTGAGATGTTTCTGCCGCATGCATCGCCGCCACGAAAGTTAAAGGAGAATGAAACGTGGAAAATACAGTGTGTAGTCACACATTCCTCATTTTTATCAGCAGATGAATTAGGAGCTTGCCAAATTAGGGGGTTTGGAGCTGGTTTGATTGATAAAAGCGTCTGCCTCACAAGCGTCAGGACCTGTGCTCAGATGCCTGTCCTCCCAGTAGAAAGGTGTGGTGTGCCTCTATATCCATAATCCCAGATCTGGAGAGGCAGAGAGGAGCTCTCTGGGACATGTGAGCGAGCCAGCCAGTGCAGCCAGTTGATAAGCTTCACATTCAGTGAGAAACCTTGTCCCTAAAATAAGGTGGAGAGTAACTGAGGAAGGGTTGAGCTGCAGCTTAAACGCACGCACGCACACACACATATCTCTTTTAATAGTTTTAATCACAATTAGACAAAGACTGCTTGACTTCCTGCTCCAGCCTCTTCAGGCACACACGTGGGCGTGTGCACACCTTCACGACTCCCATGCATGCATCACACACTCACACACATGGTTGAGCTGATGGGGAGTGCATGTTTGAAATTAAGAGCTTAACAAATTACTGCCAGGGGATGTGGACCAATCAATAGTAAGAATGGTGACCAGCACACATGAGGCCATTAGTATTATGAAAGAGCTAGATACTCCACACATGTGTTTTTACTATTTGGGCTGTGCTCAGCTAGGCGGTTATTGTTTTCAGTCATCTGGCTCTTGTCAGCTGCTAAACTGGCTAGGAAACAGCTCACTTCAGATGGCGCTAAGATTGTTTGCCTCGGCTCCTCCTCATCTATTATCTTCTAACAGGCTAGCCTAGGCTTTCTCACATGGCAACTGGCAACATTTTCAGCCAGCGAGCCAAAGCACACATGAGTTCTTTGGACCTAGCAGGAACCAGCCTGAGGTCTCTTCAGTGATGTTTTGTCTAAGCAATTAGTGAGGCTAACCCAGACTGAGGGGAGAAGAAAGTGGACTGCTCACAGGAAAGGCTGGACGAATGCGTTATAAAGGGGTTCCACCCTTACTCGAAGCTCTTCCTATCCCACCCACAAGACTCCTTGCCAAAAAAAGACACATCGTGCATAGCAGTTTTACCCAGGAGAATCCTGAATGGACACTTTCTCTCCCGATCTTTACCAATCATCATCTTTCTAAACCAAATACATTTTCACAAAATCATTTTCTTAAACCAAAAAGCAGATGGTCAGGAGACTAAAGAGCATATAACCCTCAGATTCTAGCTAAACTGAACTGAACTGAAACAACAGCATACAAATCTGTATCTTCGGAGGGAGATTTTAAAAGTCTGGCAATTCTTGAGTTAATTAAGAACGAATGGGCCAAAATCAAAATGAATTCTTTTTGGCCATCATCTTAACTGAACGTGTGTTCCCTGTGGCCTGGTTCTTACCCATTGTTCTTGCCAGAATTAAGACTGCTAAGCTAGTCCACTATTTGGCTTCTCAGGCTTTAAATTATTATATTGACTGTAAATGGCCACATGGCTTCTCTGAACCAAATGATGAAGGAGGAATGACTCCTCTGAACACCTTTTTGGGTAGGAGCTGGAGCAGGAGAGTTGAGGCTTGTTCTGAATGAGGTTCAGAGACTTCAACGCATCCTGTCTGCTAACCAGAGCTTGGAGACACTGAACGTAGAACAACTTAAAGGATAAAACCGGAGAACTAAAAGTCCGACTTGAACTTGTAGATTATATTTTGCTATTTCTGAATTTAATTTTGTTTCTAAGTTAAAACTGAAATTCTAAGAAAAGAACTGATTAAATGGTTTCCCTAATAGCCCTAAAAATATAACAATAGAGTGCTCGGTGTCTTCTCAGTATTGAATGCTTTCTCAGAGTTTTCAGTTCCTTAATGATCTCTATTAGGAGTCCTTTAAGGTAGACACACTTAATCATGCCTTCCCGTGTTGGCCAGGGTCACAAAGCATAATGCTTTTCCAGGATGATCACTAATGGATGAGGAACCTGGACTTGAACCTACATCTCTGCCTAAATGTTTAGCACCCATTACTAACCTCCATAATATGGATTTATTTGTAGACGTGGTCATATTTTACAAGCTCTTCAAAGACAGTAACTGAATTTTTTACTTCTTTATATATCAAAACCTGAAACATCTTCTGTATAATTGAGACACAATAGATCTGTTCTAGAGAAGCCAAGAAGCACAGCAAAGCAAAAGAGGCATCCAGGGCCAGTGGCTTTCCATAGTTTTTACGTAATGAATTCCTGACATGTTTTCATTGCAGCAGATAAACATATATTCTGTGTTATTGTAAAACTTCCATTTTAAATTTACAAAGAATTTTTTTAATACCAAAGTTTGATCTTTTCTTTAACAAACAGAAAAGGTAAATGTTCTTTTCAGTATATTTGAAGTGATCTGGAAAATGAGTTTCCTAGTGAGGGTTCAGCTTGATCAAGCTGAGGAGACACATCTTAAATGACACACAGATGTGGCTTTATTCACTTCTTTCTCTCGGCCAAAAGTCACATGCTTCCATAAGGAAATATTTAGAAAGAATTTTTTTTTTATTCTGATGATTTATGTGAAATAAAATTGGGTTTTATACATGACAGGAGTGTATTTAGATTTTGGATTAATGGTGAAAACGTCAGACTCCACAATCTATTTTCTTTTATAAGGTCGTGTAAAATACAACTACACAAAAGGAGATATTATTTGGCCTAGTCATATGTGAAAGATATCAACTGGCCTTTTAAAACTAACATTTGAATCCGTGGGTCCATTTTGAGAAAATCCAAAATAATTTAACTGCAATGATTCTCCTGAGGACAAAGCTGTGTTCTTGTTGTCTCCTTTGGAGCTCTGTAGACCTTCCCCTAACTATGGCTATTTCTCTGTCATGTTGCCTGATCTCTCCCTGACCTACTGAGATGAATTTTCTAAAAATGACTTGCTCAGTGTATGCACATATTTTTCGAGGTTACAATGTGCCTCCATTTGAAGATTTGATCATTACTAATTAGTTTGGGTTATCTTCCAACACTGGGAAATAGAAATTGATTTATTACACACGTATATACATAAACAACTAAGACTGGATTTCTAAGATTGCTAGGAGATTGCTGAAAGGAGAGGGGCTTTCTGTGTTTTGGATTTGCCGCATATATGCCAAAGTCTGAATACCATCTTTACCACGTTAACTGAATTTTATTATGTTCTTTGACATCTCTGCATTTCAGTCTCTCCAGCTGCAAAATGACAAGTTTATCAAATTCTAATTACCATTATAAAAAGTAATGTATAAGAAACAATTAGCATTTGAGAACAATTTGTGTACAAAATCATTTAAAAATGAAACACAAACAAACCAGTGGCTCAGTTGGATAAAACTCCTGCCAGGCCTGTGTGAGAACCACAGTATGAATCCCCACATCCAGCCCTGCAATTTCAGCACTAACAAAACACACCCAGATCCCCTCATCAACTGACTTTATGAGCCAGCCTTTTTGGTGAGCCCCAGGTTCAACTCAGAAACCCTGCCTCAATAAATAGCGTAATACAATGGAGGGCAACCCTCCGTGCTAGCTTCAGGCCTTTACACACAAGTACGCATGTTCACACACTCACACACACACACACATTTACCCACGTGCATGCAAACACGCACACACATACACACATAAAACACACGCACACAGCCACATACATACGTGCAAAAAAGAAAATGGAATACAATTTTAAACTAAATCCTTTAATTTATGATATAAGTTAAATATAAATATATTTAAAGGATATAAATCCTTTAGTTATGATAACTATATTTCAAGTGCACAATGGTCATGTGATTACTGTGTTACACAAAAAAGGACATGCTCATCACTGCAGAACGTCTTGGGGGGCCACGATTCTAGACCATCTATGAGGAAAAAAGAAAACAAGCTAAATGAATACTTTTCTCACTAACACTGATATTCACCCAAGTATGAAGATTTGGTCACATTTTCTTCTTCCATTCTAGAAGAACAATGGCCTAAAAAGTATTAGACTCAGTAAAGGTGAAGTTTCCCAACAGGTTGTCATTAGTTCCTTCAAGCAGACAACCAGGCTCTACACCCAACCTAAACTGAGCTACCCAAAGGAGACGTGAAAATCAATTAAAAACTCCATTCACACACACACATAAACAAAAATGTTTTTAACTTTTCTGCTTTGCTTCTCAAATTGTAATATGTTCACCATACTTTCCTTAAAACAGTAAAATTAATACTTTCCTCATTCGGTTTACCGTTTCCAGTGTTTCTGGTGTTTGCCCATTCTCCCGTAGTCCCGCCCTACTTCATTGTCTTTACGTCTTCAAGTCTGAACTGTCCTGTTAGAGTTGCAAGGAGTGCAAGGAGCTACGGCCTGGCCTGTGCCCATCTTAAAATCAGTTCGTCTCTGCAACACCGCTTGGTGGATATATTATTCTTCAGTTCAGGCCATGTTATCTCCAGAGTCAATGACCCTTACACACAACAGAAAGTACAAGAATCCTTCTAACAATGTAGAGAGTTGATGACAAAACCCCAATTACCCTTCCAGCCTAGCCTTCCTCCCATTATAATGTCCTGCCGCAGCCAAGCTTTTTTATTGTCCAGTAAACTAAGACCTATCAGCACAGTAACCTATTTGCATTCTCGTTATAGTTCATCTAACCCATCTTATTAACAATTCTTGACCCTGTTTGAACCTGTTTTTGCTGTTGGCTTCCCTACCTGCGGTAGCCTGCTATGCTCCCTGTCCTCAGCTGGTATGATCTGTGCTTTACTAGTGAACATTATTCTTATGGCCACATCTTCAAAGGCAGCAGGCTTGAGCTATAATGCATCATTATAAGCAACCTTTCATCCCTAACCCCCCAATACTGATACAAGAGAACAGATTTTTTTTACATTTGTTGATTTTTAATTTGTATCTTTTGAATATTTAACATACTAATTTTGAAAAAGTGAGTTAGGTGCCTTTGTCTTGAACTGTTTCTTCTTTTTTTTCTCCTGACAGGTTCAGCTGCTGCACTGCCTAAAGCAAACAGTCACGGGAGGTGATACTGAAATCGTAGATGGGTTTAATGTGTGCCGAAAGCTCAAGGAAAAGAACCCTCAGGCCTTCCACATTCTGTCCTCCACCTTTGTGGATTTTACAGACATTGGAGTGGATTACTGTGATTTCTCTGTGCAATCTAAGCACAAGATCATAGAGTGAGTGGTTTGACAAATTCCCTGTAGTTGAAACAATTGGCCTAAGGTTTAAACAGCAGAAAGCTGTCATTTAGTCCAAAGCTTTGGTTTAATAAGTTGCTAGAAGAAAAAAGAAAACAATATTTTTTTCATTTAAAAAAGTTACCAAATGACATAAAATTTGCTCCCAATCAATGTCAGATTTTTTTTTTTTTTTGGTAACTAAGAATTCATACATACTTCATTTTTAAGTATCATTCTGCCTCATAATAGCCAATGTGATTATAGCTGTTAGAACTTTTGCAGCTGGAAGTGAAAGAATACAACTGAAAATAGATTGATCCAGAATTTAAATCCTGCCAAGCAGAAGTTGCTGCTTTTTCCTCCTTAGCTTTGTCATCTTATTTTGGCCTAACTTTCAAAGATACTTCTCATAAAATTTTTCATCATCTTTCCAAGTTTTTCATCATACTTCATGCTAGCAAGGATAGCACTTGTTTTTCAAAAACTGTGGCACAGCTGGATAACACCCTGCTCAGTCATGTCTATGCCTGTCCATTAGACTTTCACCAAAGGTTGCAGAGTGCTACTTGACCGTAGCTGGCTCCCATGTGCATCTCTGGAGCCGAATATGTCTCCTTTTAGCCCCATGCACTGAGAATAAAACATACCTCAGAAAGTGCTAAGCCAGTGGAAATCATACTGATGTCCTACATAGACCATTTTATGGTACCCTTTTTTTTTTTTCTTAAACTTCAGTGTGAGTACATGATGAAGAGCATCTCACTTTTCTTGATTGTGTTGGTCCTTTGTCTTAATTAGGATACTTTCTTTTTTATTTTTTATTTTTATGTCAATTAGCTTCTCTCTCACTGTCTCTGTCTTTCTCTCTCCCCATATGTATGTATGTATGTACCTATGTATAGATGTGTGTATATATAAATGTTCATGTGAAGGCTTGATTATCTTCCTCAATTGTTCTTCATCTTCTTTGAGACAGAATCTCTCAATGAACCTCACACTTATGCAGCAAGCACTTTACCAATTGAGCTATCTCCTCCATCCTATTTTTTTCTTTAACATAATTATC